CTTACTTGTTAGCAAGCTTTGTACCTCTGGCTCAAACTGACAGAATTTAAGAGATTCCTACCACCAATTCTCTCTGCAGCTTTGCAGTCTGACTCAAAACACTCTTTCTGCTGCAGCCTGTATGGGGTATTTTGTTAATCACATTTGAAGTTGTGCCGGCTTTTGCTTTCTATTATTACTTGTGTTCTTCCTGACTGTTATGAAGTATTTTAGCGAAGGCACGTATAAACAGTAATCTCTGACTCAGGTAATAAAACTGAACTATTTTCAACAATTGGTTGTGAAGATGTTTACTGAATTTGTCAAATAGCGTTTGAATGCATTGCATTCGTGGAGAAACAAGTTCCCTATGCGGCACTCAGGGGAAACACAATACTCGGAGTGTAACAGAATTTAATAAAGATAAAGACTTATCAGATCTTTTAGTTCTGCTTCTGATACATTGGGTAACTAAGGCACTCCACAGTTCAAGTGTCTTTAAATGAAGCAAAGAATCCCTAGAATACTGCTTAGATTTAGAGAAATGCTTCTGCTTTGTGTGGTACTTAGCACGCTATCTTATTTATACTTAAAATCTGAGAGCTATTAGATCTATTCCACAGCCCACCCAGATCGAGTCAATCTCTTGGATGACAAAAGACGCAAAAGGTTTTCTTCTTACCATACAAGGATTAGGTAACAAGGTAACTCTTACTGATATGAATACAGAGTTACATTACCATTTGTGGCAACCAAATGAAAGATTATTTACCAGTAAATACACTTCTTTGAAATATATTGGCCATATATACCCTTGTATTGCAGGTGTTCTTATCACAAGCACCTTAGCCAGATGCCAATTTTGTCTTATCAGTACCTATAAGTATGTTCATGCCCTCTCTCATCTGGCCGCCATATAAAGGGGGAGCGTGCTCTACGGTGCCAAGTTTCTCTCAACTCGAGGACCCAAGAATCCTGTAGTTCTCAGGAAAGTCATCTTCTTTTCAGAAGAGAGGCGGATAAAAGCTTGGTAGTGAACGCATCTGACACTAAGGCTGAACATATCAGTCCTGAAGATCACCTATAGGATAGGGATCTTGCTCCATCCAGTCTACTGATGTACGCACGGCATGATGATAATGTAAATATGCCATCATTTGGGCAAAGCCAGACAGCGTGCTCCTGGAGGTGCGTGAGAATTCATAATATGCATTTGGCATTGCTATGAATTCTAGCTATCGAAACGCAAAGTCAGTGAGGCTGTTGGATTGCCAGGGTGAAGTCTCCAACCAGGCAGAGAAATACCTGCAATCATCTTTCAAGGCAAAGGTGAAAAACACAACTGTGTCCCTTGGCGGAAGATGGGAGGGAGCTAGCCACTGACAGAGGGGCAATAGCACCGCAGGAAGGAACAGTCCCAGCTGTGCTGGGAGGGTGTGTTCATGGAGGCAAACATGCAGGGGGACACATGCACAGCGATACACGAAGGGTAACATGAGCACAGGGTGCCATATGGCTCAGAACTGCCAGACGCGTCCTCAATGTGATGACAGGGCCTGCCTGTAATTGCCTGACCAGTTTTTCCACTGCACAAAAAGTGCTCCTGTGGGAGATAAGCTTTTGCAGATATTGTTTGCAGGCAGGCTCCAGGAAATCCAATAAGCTGTGTCAGGAAGAGGAAGGACTTTCCTGGTTTACCAGTTTACCATGAAACCCAGGGAACAGCTAACTTTACATGCTGTCTCTAGATTTTGAAGGACTTGAATCCTCAGTGAACCCTTTAGCAGTCACTTCTCCAAGGAAAAGGTAAAAGGCTAATCCCCATCTCTGAGATGAACTGAAATCATAACCACAATCTTGAGAAAGACGTATTGTCATGCGGTACCTTAGGTGCATAGTGTCATGACCCAAAGACATTTCAGATGGGATTGTCTGAAAATAAGCGCTGCAAGTCAAAACTGTTGACTCAATGGACTGAGCTGACTGATTGCTAGGACGCCATGGCTCTGATATCCCTTAGGATCCTAGAGGGAACCCAAAGATAAATATTAAATCTCACTAGAGGTGCATGCCCGATGCCCGGCCTTCAAATGGAGCAATGAACCGTCTTACAGGCGGTTGTATACTTGACCATCCCCCAAACTAATGGGCATTAAGAGACATGACAGGTGATTAAAATCATTTTAGGGAGAAAACAAGGTTGTACTAAAATAAGGAAAAAACAAAAATAGAAAATGATCTAAACAGGCAGAGAAAAACACAGGACATGAGCGTGCAATGCAGCTCCTCCATGGCCTCCAGAACAGCAGCAGAAAAAAAAAACAAACTACTACAGATTTAGCAAAGGAAAGCAAAGTGGTAAAAGTCAATGAAATAAAGGGAAAGGTAACCCTGAGAAATCAGGGGTCCAACACAAATTTTTGTAAAGGCCTTAGCAACATAAAAATGCTCCAGAGGAGCCAAGTTGGTGAAAGAGCCATACGATACACTGTGCTCCTCCGGGGCTGTGTGAGGGCGAACAGAGGAACGAGGCCCACAGGTACTGTGAACGCACACAAACCTTGGGCTGGAGTACAAGCGATATGAACACACCCTGCATGTACAGACAGACAGATGCATACTTGGAGAAGAAAGCTGGATTCCCTTCTGAGGAACATTAGCATAGGGACTCCCAACAGGCTGTCTGCCAAGGGGGATAATTAAGCTAAATAAAAATACACAACAATAACAGCCCCACAAATGAGGATAATTTAATTACCACATTGGATATAGGAGGCCCACTTCCCATGAGTTTTCCATTGTGACCAGAGAGGAGACGATAGTAACATAATGTGCTGCAGAAAGGAAGATTCATTCGCTAAAAAGAGGCTTTCTATTAGGGTCTGCATATTAAACAACATCACAGCTTTCCATAATCATGTCATAATCTTTCCATAAAATTCAATCAAGGCAACAGCTTGTGAGTATCCAAAAATCAATGGAACCATATGAGAAATGATTGCAGAGGTAACACCGGAATTTATTTCAATACTCAACCCCTAGCGGCCGTAAGGAATGTCTAAATAATAGGGAAGCAGGCGTCCTGCAAACACCTCTTACAGAAGGTCTACTCTCCCTCAAATTCAGAGGAAAAATAAGCAGTACGCAAACTGTAGTTCACTTAACAATATGCAATTGTTTGATTTTTGGAAAGAGGTCATTTTCACCTACTCATCTTCCTAAAATAAAACAGCTGTTAAACTGAACAGGGCATAGTCTCACCTGGAATCCCAGCCCAGTAGTATAGTTTCACTGAGCTGAATTTAAAATACAGGAGCTGCAGATTTGCTTTATTCATTAGTGCAGAAACGCAATATAAGGGGAGAGCTAATGTGTTGGGCTTCTGAAGTGCTTTGTACACTGTGCAACATACCTCTAGGGTGCTCATCTGTTAAGTGAGAGAGAAGGTACAATATTTTTCCTCCCTTTCTCTCTCTCTCTCTCTCTCTCTCTAGTGAAAACACTTAGTGGCCAGCACACACTCAGTTCTTTTGAAAGTAATGGAGTGAGTGTATCCACTCATTTATTTAAAAGAGTTGAGTAATTGCAGCCCTGTCAGCTCAGAAAACATCTCTCCTCTGTTAAAGCCACTGCACAAAACCATTTCTGTGCAGGTGGTCACAGTAGTTTCCTTTTTATTTACTTTCACATTCTCTGAGTCAGAGTCACTGGTGAGGGAAGAGGCTGCATGCCCCCATCTGTATCTAGTTCTGCCACAGAATAAAACTCAGTCAGTAGAAGGAAGGAGGGAGGAAAGTGGGGACACTTTGGGAGCCTTTTTGGAGGTGCTAAGTTAATATGTGGCTTGCGCTGGCTGATGACTATGTAAATCGTTACAGAAATCTCCCAGGGGACGGTGTGTGCTGGAGATAAAGATTACAATAGTAGACTTGCAGGAAAATGGATTCAGACAGCTGGGACAGTCCAAGGAGGGGACAGGCTTGAGCAGAAAGTCCTCTTGCTAAAGACTCTCTGGAGAAGCTCCTTCAGTGGGTGCTAGGGAACTGAAAAGTTACCACATCTGCCTTCTGCAGATTCCAATGTAGCACAGAGGAAAAAGGCCACAGAGTATGCAAAGATCACTACAGATATTTCCTCCTTACCTCCAAAACACACAGAGAATTGCAGCAGACTAGTTCCAATGCACACTCTCACTGCAACCGTTTTTTCACTCCACAGCTGCCCAAGACTTAGTCCTGTCCAGGGAAGCAAAAGTGAGCATTTCACCTCCTCCGTCTGGGGTTGTTGGACACAGGACAAGAACCATTGGACTGATGAGTCCAACCAGGAACAGGTGGGCATCCATCTGGCCTGACCACTCAAAAACCAAGGTTTGTTCCTTCTTTGCAACTCTCATGAGCTTTGGCTTTCTGGGACGGTTTTCGAAAGACTGCAAGAAACAGCTACCAAGGCAAGTGAACTATATGGAGCGTACACTTACATGCCTCTGGTGTCACCATGTTCCTGTGACATCCATGCCAGTATTATCATTACCCCATTTATTTGTTAGAAACGACTGTATCACTCCACACCGTCATGTGAGCCTCCTAGATTTTGCTCTAACCACTCATTTGTCTCAGTGACCTCCACTTTTTAAAGCTATTTACTGGCTTTGTAGATAAAGATCATTGTGGCCTTCAGCAGAGGTGTGGTGATGAAGGGACACAAGGACATGCAAATTTTGTAAATGCTACTTCATTACACTGCCCCTAATCACCAAAACCAGGCTATTTTGTCCTTACACAGTAACACTTGAATGAAAGCAATAAAAAAGACAATTAGGAAAGTGAAATTAGGGGAGCAACAACATCTGCTGGAAAAAGAATGATAAAAATGGTCTGAACAAGCCTGGACGTTAAAGCCAGACAGACACAGGCATGCCAACCTTCTCTCTACCCTGCTGCCACGCTCCTCAGGTCCTTTGAAAACGAAAACACTGACAGTCATGAGAGTTTTCACCTCCTCATTTAGAACTGGCTCACCTTAACGGATACTTTTCTCCAGGGTCCCTCCCCAAGTGGAAGAGCAGCGGCAGAGTGGTGTGCTCCTCCTGCGTATGTGTTGTCACTCCAGAGACATTCTGCCCAGGACAGAAATCGATGCCCTGCATTAGAGAGGAGGAAACAGGTCACCAAGGGTGAGGCAGGAGAGAGAATTCTGGCTGATGCCACTTTCTTCTGCACCTTGTTGTTAACCAAAACAGGTAAACTTCCCCTGCCCTGTCAAATATACCCACAGAATACAGAATCAGTCTAAAACCAGGGAGTTTGCTTTACTCTGTAAAACGGATTCTGATCTGATGGAGTAAAATAAGGTGACAGTGCAGCTACTGCACTAGCAAAAAAGCTGAAGCAAGCCTTACATTTTTTGCCTCATACAAAAGTAATCTCTATAAAATATTCATTAAAATGAAATGCCAAACCAAAAAAAGAGGTGAAACCATTTAATCATAGGAATTCTGCCTGTGGAAAGCATCTTCTCTGTTTGGTTTCTATGACTCAGAAATGCACAGAGAGGTTCTGATCACTTGGCAACTCTGATCTGAAAGGAGCAGTCACAGGCAATCATCCAGCAAAACTGAGGGGCATAACCCCGCGAGGCCATGGGCACCCATTAGCCTCCCTGAAAACTCTGCATGCTCAGCATCTGACATCAGACCAAAAGGACCTATTTCATTAAAGGGAGAAGCAAATATGGTTAATTTTAAAAAGAAAATGGGTGCATTTATTTATCTGATTTATAGCTTCTCAGAAAGCTGGTATTGAGGGCCTCACCTGGGAATGACAGCTGGGCTGGAAGAACTGTGTTAGGCCTGGAAACGTTCCTGTGACTAACGTTCAAGTCTATGGGGTCAGAAGTCGGGATTTCCCTGGCAGCAGTAGTGGGGGGGGAAGGCCACAAGTACAGGGACACTCCCTTTGCTAGCAGCAATGGGTTAAAGCGCTCAGTGGCCACCCAAGGGACAGACAGAGCCGTCTGTTCAGCAGTCCAGAGCAGCGAGCTCTCTGCATCTGCGCCTTTGTACGCCGTGCCAGGTTGTGTCTCCCAAACTCCAGCCAATTATTAGCCAGATGTCAAACTCTCTAATAACCTAGAGCCTGGCCTGCTGTCTCGCAGGCTAACAGAACGCATTTAGCCCTGGGAACAGCAAAAAATTTAAAGTGCTAATTTCACTGAAGAGGAAAATAAAGCAGGGGGCCCCATCGACTAGCAAGGACTAGCACCTAATGGACTTGTTAACCCTCAGTTTTACAATTCCAGCTAACATGCTGCGCTACTTACAATTCCTCAAAATGCCTCGAGACATGGACAGAGACATGGAGAGAAGGTAAATAGGAATATTCAAATGGAGGTGGGAAAGCAGCTGTAGCATTTGCTTATAAAACAAACTAAAAAGCTCTCTACAGATGTTGGTAGGGTTTGATTGGCAAACAATTTTCTAAAAATATCCTGTGTTTTTAATGGACAGCTGGTCAGTGGAGCAGTTAATATGCTGCTTTTCAATAAAGCAAGAAGGTTAGAAGCCCATGAAATCCCATTTATCTGCACAGAGCTATGGATGCCTGAATCACTGACTGGAAAAATAAGAGTTGCTTGATAGGTTGTAGTGGCCTACCAATAATGGACTTTAAATGGATACAAAAATGATTGACCTTTCCACCTTCTGATGCCACAGACCTCTGAAACATAGAGTGAAAAATAGAATTTGTTTCAAAGGGGACGGTTAATGAAAAGGTATCAAAGCTGACATAACATCCAAATTATAATTTGGATGCAAATCAAACAAGCTATTTAATTAAGAGCCTGCTAATTGGTACAATACTCTTCTGCTGCAAATGCTTTAGTCGGAAGAAGATTTTAGTCTCTTGGGCATTTGTTTATACATTGCTTTGTTTACAATTTATCTTTTGCTTTTCATAAAATTCTTGTAGCAGAGACTCCAGAACACAGTCTAGGTTATGCCCCAAAGACTCCCAAGAAAGAAAGTGCTGTGACAACCTTGCCTGATGCCACCAACCAAAAGCTGTCTGTCTTTCTAATCTAAACGGTCAATGCTCTCTTCAAAAGTAGTCTATTGCGGAGGGGCTGGGGGATTTTCAAACATATTGTTTTATGATATTGATAAATAACACTCTTAAAACGTGGCTGGAAACCACTATTTTCATTTCTGAGGCTTTTCAACTTTATCTCCGCAAATAAAACTGACTATTATTATTTTGATGTACTGTGTGACCACCAATATTCAACCTACAGAGACAGCTTAAAATATTTTCGACTTGATCATCAACAAATGAGCAAAACATATGCCCTAAAATCATATCCTCACATCCGTGATCGAGGCACTGTCCAGCAGAGTAGTAATTAAAATATTGTAGAAACAACTAGAGGATCCTCTTACGATTCACGGAAATGAGCACGGCATATAACTGTAATGGAGGAAGAGATAACCCAAGTAAAAGATAATGAAATGAGCCAGCAGAAAGCAAGTAAGAAGGTAATACATACAGAACTTAGCACAGTCCCTTAAGACTCATTTATAGAGAAAAATGTTTTTATCTGCTTCCTAAAACTATAAAGGATGAATTCAATCAAGAAGCAAGAGTGAGCAAACCTGGCGTGGAGATGGGCTGCCTGGCAGCAAATGAGCAAAAAGGGACTAAAGCGCTCGCATGAAGCTAGTGCAAAACCAGATAGTTCATGAGCCAGGTTACCCAGACTGGGGCTTTCGGAAGCTTGCGAGCCATAAACTTGCAATCTGATCTCGTAGACAGATCTCTGCCTTCACAGGGTTCACTTCCGGCGTTCATTCACATGCATCGGATTGCAGGAAAGAGATTTATTCATTGTACAAACACATGTCAAGTCATGTGTTGAAGAACCTTAATGTGAATCACCACTTCTCAGCACCCAGCTCACAGGAGAGCGAGTGCTCACAGAGGTGGCCACTGTACTGGGGAATGGATGGGGGAAGGAGGACTCTCACGGTATTGCAAAAGCTCTCCAGGAACAGTTCATGTATCTAAGGGAGGGAACTCTGATCATGCTGTAGTGCAGTAAATCTAATTAAAATGTGTGCAAGTGCCTCTTCTTGACTGAAAACTGATCGGTATGATAACAGTGGTCAATGCTGCTCAATTTGAGTCAGTAAAACAGTTTACATTTGACAGAAAAGAATATTTAACTTCTCCCTAAGCGCTAGCTCATTCCATTTTGTAACTCAAAGCCATTTTCTGTTCTCAAGAGAAAAACCTAGGATCCTCTAGTCTGGATTGCTTTTCTTTTCTGGAGCAAAACTACTACAACATAAAATCTGCTTGAGATTTGAGAAGCATTTAAAGACAAGACAGTCCCTACACTGGAACATCTGGACAATCCCTCTAGTTACTTGGAAGGCACACACATTTGGTCATGTGTGCTCCTGGGAGTTGGGGCGGAGGGACATGCCAAAACTCCTTGTATACATCTTTGACAGGAAAGAAGAAGAAACTGCCCTCTGGCAGGGAAGAATGGAAAGTAGCTCTGCTCTGCTGGACAGGCTGAAGCACTACCAGACTGGTAAAGGAAGAGAGTGCTCCTTCCAGGTACCTCTACTGGTGAAGGCCACTAGAAGAGAATTTTAAATCATATCACCATTTTGGATCATTTCCTGCTCTTCAATAAACAAAATGTTTTTTCTTTTAAGAGCATGATCTGACAACATGGCCCACAGATCCACGTGCACGCTGCAGGATTTAACAATAAATAGAAGTGTGCCAAATTCTCGGCTGGAGCAAAAGCAACATAGTTCCACGGGCAGCAGTGGAGCTCTGCTGATTTATGCTGACAAGGAGCGGCTCAGCTCTCTGGCACTTCCAACAGGAGTTCCAGGCGGCAGCTTCACTCAAAAAATAAAGTCATGCTATGTGGAAGAAGAGCAAAGAGGTAGGCATGCTTGCCCTATCCACCCAGATAACACAACCCAAATCAACCACCACTTGATCTGCTATTATTTCCTTAAAACTATTTCTTTGAGAGACTGTTAATAACAACACGCAGAGGATCAATAGCCCGTTAAAAGCACAAGCCTAATAATATTTTACTCTGCACGCTATCAAACGTAACATGCATGTTACAGGTAACCCCGATCAGATGACGCGGAAAGGTCACTGCCTTTGTTTAGGCAAATTATTGGATCTTTTCTCCTCAACTCTAAAAGCATGAAAGCTAAATCAGAAGATCCTACGTAGAACACAAGTCAGCTCTGTGCCTCCTAAGAGAGCCAATAAAAGACTATCAGATGGCAAACAAATAGCTCAGCTCATGCACCAGGTCTCTTGCACAGGCATAGTGTTTTGTGCCACTGCACAGACCTGCTTGCTGCAGGAGAAATTCCAGCAATTACTTAAAAAAAAAAAAAAAAGTTTTCTGCACATCAGATAAACCTTTCAGGGAACACATTTTTCTACCCTTCCCCCCAGCAATTGTGCAGCCTGGATTGTTTTTCCCCTTGTAAGATCTAGTGGCTATTGGTTGCACAGCTTATGCTTTAATTTCCAGAGCAAATAGACCACAGATGCTATGTCAATATAGACATGAGACAAATACAGCTGGTTGCCAGTTTGGGCTCTTCGCCAAGCAATGGAATCACCACTCGCGTTAATGTAAGCCCTTTGGCAATTTGTCACGCTGGTGCTATCCCAGATCAGTCTGACTTGACAGGCAACTGCAGATTCTGATAGTGGCGCAGCAAATCTGGGCTCTCTCTCCCGGTCATGTTTCCTCATTCCAGCACATAAAACCCAGAGCAACAACAAAACTATATTAATATTGGACAGCAGGAGAGAGTTAAAAAAACACCAGCTAATTAAAGCCAGGAACGTTGTTTCTTGCCATTTGCCACAGCACTGGCAAGAGGTAATTCTCACTCTCCTGGAAATTCCCAGCAAAAGCCTCCCAAGCTGGAACCCAGAACGACCAGATACCTGAAAGCATGACTGCCAGTTTCAACCTGGTTGAACAAAAATTGCTTCTAATGTGTTAACTGTCTGGAAGAGACCACAGAAGATGAGCAAATCAGAAAGTCTCCATCGGCTCTCAAGCAGAAGCGATCAATGGCTAGCTCAT